GTATAAATTTCCTTCAAAGCACTGCTTTACTGTGTCCCAGAAGTTGCTTTATGTGTGTTTTGGTATCTTTCACTTTTTTTAAATTCCAGTGTGATTTTGACGTTACTCTTCAGTCATTTAAAAAGTTTCCAAATATTTGGGAAATCAGGGACTCTATGAAATGTGTTGAAGGTTTTTTTGGCTGAATACATAATCAATATTTTATATGTTCCATATGTACTTGGGAAATCTGTGTATTCTCTAATTTTTAGACATAGAACTACATACATGTCTATTAGGCCACAATTTTAGTTTTATTGTTCAAATCTATAACATTACTGATCATTTTTTGTCTGCTTGACTTTTCAAAAATTGGGAGAAGTGTGTTGAAATATCTCACTACATTGGTGGATTTATTGATTTCTCCTTGTAGTTCAAAACATTTTGTGTCACATATTTTGAAATTATTTTATTAGGTACATTCATGCTCATAATTGCAGTGCCTTTTGAAGAATTGAATTCTTTATTATTTTATAGTGACTCTCTCTAACCCTAATAATTTTTATAATTTGAAAGCCTGTTTTCTCTGATGTTAATACAGCTACGTCAGTTTTCCTATGGTTATTGTTTGCTGGATGTATCTTTTTCCGCCCTTTAACTTTCAACCTTGTGTGTCTTTTTACTATGTAGGTATGTCTCTTGTAAGCTACATATATCTAAATACTGTGTTCTTACCCAAACTGTCAACATTTTAGCTGAGGAGTTTCCCCTATTTACACTGATTATTATTATTTATATATTTTCAACTGTTTCTCTCATCTTAATTTATTATTTGTGTGTCCCATATTTTAATATATTTCTCCTTAGTACATTTTTACCACTTTCACATTCTTTGGTTTCTTTACTACAGCAACCCAATCATACTGATATTATCTAGACTTTAATACTGAGTTAAATGGTGATATATTTCACTTTGTCTTTGGTCTTGATTCCCTTCTTCTTTTTATGACTACAACCACTTTACCAAGATATTTGATTATTTTTATTTTATATTTTTGAAGCATATCTTTTAAATATCTCATTCTATTTAGGGACTTCATCCAAAACTGTTTTCAATGTTTGTCTTTGTTGGTAAACATTCCTAAGCATTTTATGCCTCTAAGAATGTTTTTATCATGGCCTCATATGTGAATGACATTTGGGCTGGATATAAAACTTTGTGTTTTAAGTTCTTTTCTTTCAACATTTAAAAAATACTGATTCACTTTCTTCTTTCATCCAATTTTGCCATTGAAAAATCTTATGTTAATCAGATTCCTGTCCTTTGGACGTAATCTTCTCTTTTTCTCTTTAGGCTTTTAGATTTTTCTCCTTGTCATTGTATATTCTTGAATTTAACTATAATGTGTCTAAATGTAGGCTTTTCCTATTTTTCTTCTTTGGCATTCTATAGGTTCTTTGATTTTTAAATAAAAATAAAATAATGATAAAATAAGATAAAATAAAAGCCTTTAGGTTTTTATTTGGTGTTAATTCCCAGAAATGTATCTCCACTATTTCTTAAAATATTTTCTTCCTTCCAATTTTATTTTTCTCTCTCTGAGACTCCCCATATCTATATTTTATTTCTAATAATTCTATCCTCTATACAGATTAGATTTTCTTTCATATGTTCTATTTCTTGGTTCTTTTATTCATCCTCTTGAGAGATTAATTTGGTTTTATAATTTGCTAATTCCTTTATTCTTTTCTTAGTGTATCCATTATGCTATTTTTTCCATTCTATAGTTTTCTTTTTTTCGAGTATTATATTTTCATACCTCCTATTTCTGCTTGATCAATTTGGCCATTTTTATGTTTACTTGTTGTTATTTTATATTATAAATATCTTTATTTCTTTTAGAATGTACATTAGGCTAATTTAAGAAACTTGGTTTCATGTGATTTTTTATTTTTGCTTTTGATGTTACTTCTAACACTGCATGTTGTTTTACTTGTGAAATAGTTATTTTCCTCAAATGTTTTTATATTTTGACCTGTGAGTTCATTATCTTCAGGAATATCCACTACTGTGAGAGGCTGTATACATGTGAGAAGGTCACATCCCCACCCATTTCAGTCTCTATGATCTTAGTAGTGGAGATGTGAATAAATCTAGGGTAGAGAATCTCAGACACCAGGAACCACTGTCAATCACTCCTCACATAAAGGAACTTCTCAGATGAGGAGTGCACGTTTTTGTATATGTAGTATTATCTTGAAGTATTGAAAGAAAAAAAGAAGTATTGTCTTGAGGAATATGTTGTATCTTGTTGGAAAGATTTTATGATAAATTCTTTATTATATGTCTTTAAAATTTTGGTTGTTAATAATAATATGTTCTCCTACTGTTATGTCAAAGACTTTGCTTTCTGTTCTTTTAACCAGAATAATAAATATTTCTTCATAAAATACCTAGCCAGTTCCTACTAAACTGCAAAATAAAGACCTAGATCTTATTATCTAAGTCACTTATACTTTTGACAAAAGTAGGTATAATTTTGCTTTGTAGGCCCTTTCAGATGTGTGTGTAATCTTTAAATTTTCACTAACATTGTAGTCTTCTATCTTTTAATGGAGAAAATGCACTTTAGATTACATGAAGTGTATTACATACTTCTAAATTGAAGCCAATTGTCTAATGATGTTCAAAAAGTGATTAGCCCTTTACATGAAATAGAGTAGTACCTACAGCATAAAATTAAATAGGATATTAATCATTGTGCTTCAGGGCATAAATTAGACAATAACCAAGGTCGGGAGAAGATGTAATGTAGCTATAGTTATACAGGATTAGATTCATTATCAGAATTCTAGCCCTATTTCTAAGGAAAAACACATTTGGTATAGTCTGAGCAAGTAATATGGGCCCAGTGAAATGCTATAGTTAGGAACCCATCACTTTATTGTTGCAGAGTGTATGTAATATGGTTCCTTTTCTTCTTAAACATTTCTGCAATTTGCCACTGCTGCATTGAAATCCATCTGAATTCAAGCTCTTCAGAGAAAAGTGCCATTTCCCTAGTTCCTTCTTTCTTACTCCCTGTCTTTTTGTTCAGCACGTCCATTATGTTTCTCAAAGGCACAGTGGAAATGTACAATTCAGGTTAGTGATGCCTTAGTTTATAATCAACAGAGTTTTCAAAAAATATCTTGGAAACTTTATACTTTTACAAATATGACTAAATGACCCACACATTAGGGAAATATCTGCTTTTAGGATTTCTTCCTAATTGTATTGTTCTGATACTAACACTCACCATCTCTCCAATTTCATCAACTTTGTCGCTATTTTTCAGATGAGGAAATTGAGAAGGAATAAATACTCTACTTAAGTAGCTCCCTTCCAAGATCCAAGAAGTAAAAATACTTTTTAAAACAATGAGTTTATATAAAATAGAGATGAGGAGTCCTTATAGAGTAAATAATGAAAAGAACAAATATATGAAAATATACATTAAAATACCATATGCAGTCTATAGTGTCCTTACTGATATGCATATATACTTTCATATTAGCCTGATTTCCACTGTATTTTTAAAGTTTTCTTCCCTGTGAAATATACAATATTTATATCATATAGTTTAATGGATTATTATGTCAGAAACTAATTTTGGTCCTCAGATGTCCTTTCTTCACATTTATTTCCAGTCTGATTTTATAAGTATCAAAAAAACTCCCTCAGGAAAAAAAAAAACAAACGCCCTCAGTCTGAACTGGAGTTTTACAAAAAGTGGGAAAGGGAAGTTAAAATCTCCATAATAATCTGGCTATGGCGTTGTTTGATTATTTGTATTTTTTCTAGACCTCAAGGAAAGAAAAAAGTTGCTACTTATTACTGCCCAGAAATGAAATAAAGATACTTAGAATGGAAATATTTTATTTTATTATTATTTTTTTTTGTGAGGAAGATTGGCCCTGAGCTAACATCTGCCAATCTTCCTCTTTTTTTGCTGAGGAAGACTGGCCCTGGGCTAACATCCATGCCCATCTTCCTCCACTTTATATGGGATGCCACCACAGCATGGTTTGACAAGCGGTGTGTTGCTGCACGCTGGGGATCCAAACTGGCGAACCCCGGGCTGCCACAGTGGAACGCGCGCACTTAACCGCTTGCGCCATCAGGCAGGCCCCAGAATGGAAATATTTTAAACGTTCAAATTCTACATTTTAAATGTGGCTTTTTATGGAATAATGAATATTAACTTAAATTATGGATATTATTTACATTTAATTTTCTTTGGAGATAAGTCAATAAGCATATTTTAAATAACAAATTGGTACAATTTTGAATTGTGTATAAAGCATCTTAGCTTTCTGAAAAACTGTTCCCAAGAAGTTCTTTAAGAATTGCAGTATTGCTATAATTAGATGTACCCTATATCCACTAGAGGCAAAAGTAGTTTTAGGCTACTTTTAGTTACCAGCTGGGATATTTATAATAATCCAGAACATTAAGTGTACAATGAGAAAAAGTATGCCTTCCAGGAAGGAAGTTTCTCACTTAATTAACAGTGTAAAACACCTCCTGACTGTGTGTTGCTGGTAGCACTGATGGTATTAAGAAGGTTTCCAAAATGTTCAACCATTATACCTAACTTATGATACACAATGAACTTTCCAGCTTTGCTAATATGTATATTGATTTTTGTCCAAAAGGGTATTTTTAATCTTATTCATTTATAACCAGATAATGTGCTGGATCAAACTTCCATAACTTTGTAAATATTGATGAGAATTTTCCTTCATGAGTGAACTAATTTCTCTTTTTGCTGAAATACAAAAAGTTTTTTTCAACATATCTTATCTAAAAGCAACCCATAATGATTTAAAAAAGTTAATGCATACTCATCTCTTGTTTAAAACTAAATGCTATATATTACAAATTATTGTTAGTAAAGTGGCAAATTTAAAATATACAACAAAATATATCAATGTCTACAGAAGGTTTGATTGATCTTTTCTTCCTTTTTCCTCTGAAGTTATCTGGAAGTATTTTGGATGTGTATAGTGGTGAGCAGGGAATTTCACCAGTTAATATGGGACTTACAAGTGCTTCCTGTCCAAGTAGTCTACCAATGAAAAGAGAAATTACAGGTAATGTTGCTTTTATAGTTTTATCCTTCTTTACCAACTGCATAAGATATGAGTGACATATATTACCAAGCTAAATAGAATTTTAAAAATATTATCAAAATAGTTAAAATGGGAGACGTTTGGAAAGTAAATTCATTTTTTTCTATGACAATCAAGTAGTAAGTTAATATAACTTACGATTCAACTGAATTGATTCATTATTTTAGGAATTGCTCAAATATATACATATGCTCTACACATATATATAGACAGCTTGACTAAGTTCTTGACTTAACATAGGTTCATTTTAATATAGAATAGATGCAATTTATTAACATGGTTGCAAAATAATAGATTACTAGATTAGGGAAAATTAGTCTTTTTATATGTAGAGTTTGATATAAAACAAACAACTAGATTTTTCCCTTTTTAGCTTGTTTTACGAATTTCATAATAGACTTGCATTTAACTTTCCCAAGTGGGTAAAAGCCCCTCAATTTTCAAAAGTGCATTTCAAAATTGTTACAACCCAAAGGTATTGTAGGGGCACTGTCAAGTTCCTTTAATACATAGATGAGGAAATCAAGGGTTGGAGGAGTTATTTTCTCAAAGTCATACAGCAGATTACAGGCAGAAGTGGATCAAAGTAAGGATTTCCTGACCTACAAGCCCAGTATTAGTTCCTCCATAAGAATAAAATAAAATTCAGTTGAAATTTCTGTAACAAGC